CCATATTAGTGTTCATTCTTGTGTTTTGCAGAATTTACTTGTGATCAGTGTGTGTCCTATTGTTTGGGTAAAACAAACACCCACATAACCTTTACTTTTAGCTGAGTTGCCCAAGAGTTTCTTTGTTCAACAACAAAGATCAATTTCAAAATTTTGCTTCTTCTTTCGTCTCCTATAAAAAAAATAAAATAAAAATAAACAGGAGATGTGCCTATTGTTGCTGCCAATAAGTTGATCTAAAACGTGTTTCTTGCTATTATCCCGGAGTTTCTTGTCTTTGTTCTGTTAGGTTTATTTATATATACCAATGCTAATGTGTTTGCTACAAATAAATTATTCCAGATATTTTTAGGCTATTCGAGATAGAGAATGGGATATATGAGGATGATTGGATATAAAAAATTTTGGTTTTGTTTGGATTTTTTTGTTTGGTTTGGTTAGTTTTGAAAAAGTTGGTATGGTTAATAGTTAGTGGATATATTAAAATAATATTTAAAATAAAATAATTAAAGTTGATTTGATGTAAAGTAAGAGGGAGAAAATTTGAAGTGATGGTTAGTTAAAATTATGTGAGTTGATGAATAGTGAATTAAAGTGATGTGGTGTGTAAGAATGATTGATTGATATTATTTAATTATATTGAGAATATTGATGATAGTGGGGTTGAGTTAAAGTTGAGTTAAAAAAATGGTTTAGTTAAAAATGTTTGATTTTTTTTGAGAAATTTTTGCATCCAATCATGCAATGTTTTAATTGGGGGAATATTTTTAAATTCCTCCATTTGCTATACCAAAAATTAATTTATTTTAATACGGCCATTTGAGAAATTCATGTACAAGAATTTATTATTGTAAATTGATTGTGATATCAATAGCAGTTTTGAGAAATTCTTGTACAAGAATTTATTACAATACATAGTCATTATTTAGTAAGTTGTTACAATACATCATTAGATGAACTTGAAGAGGGAAATGCTGTGATTTGGATTCATATTTTTTTATAAATGACAAAAATTAATGAATGACAATATTGTCTGACATGATATAAATCGTGATATAAATATCTCATATAGAAATTCTTAATTGTAGGATAAGATTTCATTGAAATTTTATCTATTTAATTCTTATCAAATGAATCAATAACATTAGCTCTCACATTCACTCTAATCTCCAGAAAACATGTAACAAAACCATCGAATGCAAACAGACATGCTAACAAAATAATCAGAAAAAAAGTGAAAGTTCTCTCATTCTGTAGGGAAATATTTAACAGCAAGAGGCTCATACCATTCAGGTCCGAACCCGGCTGCTCGTCTTGCACTCTCATTAAAAGGCGGCTTGAGTGGACCTCTGAAAAAGGCCCTGACTATTGCATGAAATTTCTCAATCACTTCAAACTGCATATTATCATCTCCATCTGTTTCAGCTATTTGCTCGGAGGCTATAGAATCGAGGTCCGTGCTGGGATTTCTTGATCTCATACAGATGTACTTAAACCACTTGACTCCAGCGGCACAGTGAGTGATTTCTTCGGGATAAATAACGTTCTCCAATAATTCGGCAGTTTTGCCATCACCGCCCTTTCGAAAACGTGATATTGTTGTTGGTAGCACATCAAGACCTCTAGCCTACGAATCAGAGTTCACAATATAGCACATCAAGAGAATGAAGAACTCAAATTCCTTAAAGTTCAGAAAAAACCCAAAAAAAAACAAAAAACTAAAACTTTAACCTAAAAAATCGCAACTAAAAAGTCAATATTGTACTCTGGTTGACTACATTCTTTGTTAGGCAATTTGACACAATTTTTTGTCATTACTAATTTACGTCTTCAAAGTTACAAACATGCTCAGATATTCCGTTTCCACCTAACTAATTGCATGAGCAGCAAGGAGTTATTAATCTCTCATAGGCAATTGAGATATGGTGTAATTAGGCAAACCTCAATATATTATAAATAATTATCCCAAAAATTATATGAATTCAGAAAGAACTCATGCTACTCATTCTTTTCAGTGCGAGACAAAATATGATACCTCATGAACACAATGTTCAACTGCTAAACGTGCCAATAAATCCTTAGAAGTAGCAGTAGCCGAGTCCCAGAGACCGTCATGAGCAGGTAATGCTCCATAAAAAGAGCCCAGTTCTTTAAGTCGTGCTGCAAGCAGGGTAAAATGCCGACCTTCATCTTGTGCCACTTTCACAAAATCCGTGAAAAAATCTCTTGGCATGGACTCTTCCTTTCCAAAACGAGCAATTATATCCTATATTCAGGACAGAACCGTGAGACAACTACAATGGGAAAACATGAAAGTATCCGGAGCCGATTGTATTTTACTCAGTTGAGTTAAAAAAATTGAAGCCACGAGTCACAAGCAATTCGCTTAGGATAAAAGGAGACAAGAAAGTCAAAGATTTTTTTATTTTGTTTTGTTTTATTTTTCTCTCAGTAAAACCAACACTATTCTGCACTCTAGCTGACAATAAGCAGAAAAGTGAAATATTGCTTATCCCATCACAAGCTCGATATACTCGGAAAACTTCCCTCGTTTTTTGGTAGGTCTGGGCCAAAGTATTTGATAAACAAAGTTCGGTAAATGGGAAGACTAACAGGATGATCCTGAAAACTGAACCTTTTGATATATGTACAAGACTTACAACATTCTCTCTTAGAACTCTAAAATGTTCTTATGTTCTAAACTTCAACTTCCTTATATCACAAAATTATATCCTCGGACTAGAGTAACAAGTACATAGAAGCTTTCCCAACAGGCTATCAACAGCTCTCTCCCTTACAGGATGTATGAATAAAGTGGAGGAGTAGTTAAAAAAGAAGTAGAGATGCAAAACAAAAGGGGTTGTAAATTGTTATGATGAACAACAAAAAATGAACACACACATACGCGCGCGCGCGCACATAAGTTCACACGCACAAAAGAAGAAGGCAACAA